CAAATGCCATAATTTTATTCTCTTTAAATGCTGAGTAATACCTAGGCCAAAGTTAGGCCCAGGACTATTCCCCAACCAGCAGATAGATTTGCCAGTTTTCCCATCTATTAACTCTATTTTTTTGCTCACTGATCTGTGATGTCTTCTACTTCACAAATTAATTTCATTTGTCTCAATTTCAATTTTAAGCTTCAAAATTACAAAAGATATGATGAAAAACCTTTCTCCCAACCATCAAATGAACTTTATACAAATAATGTGGTAATGAGAAAATGTGCTTACTTGGAAATATATAAAAAAAGAACCAACATTTTGTGAAAGAAAAATGCAGGGAGAGCAGGCTAAACAGAAGAAAATAAAACCAAGAAGTGAGGGAAAGGAAAGGTATAGTCCATTTCCTCTAGGAGAAAAAGATGTTAAAATTAAAAAAAAAAAATACATCCAGTAAGTATTTGCTCAGTGTATTCCCTCTACTAGGCACTGCTAGAAGCACAAATGAATTACGTAACTTCTGCTAGTGATGAATGCTATGAAGAAAATAAAACTGGGCAATAGGATAGTGAATAGGAGAGAAGACAGGCAGGGAGGTCAGGATAGTAGTGGCCTCTTTGAGAAGATATTTGGATATAGCTCTACTTCGGAAGAGGCATGAGAAGATGGGGGTGAAAGAACAGTTCTAGCAAGAGGCAAGAGTTAAGTGCAAAGGTCCCGAAAAAGCGCAAAAAACAGAGGGTCAATAAGGCTGTGGCACAGGAARGAAGAAAAGGGAAACTAGGAGATAATGTAGGAAGACTGGGAAGGGCCACCTGAAGACTGGATCATTAATGGCAATAGGAAACCTTTGGAGGGGTTCACCTGGAGGTGTGACATGATCTACTGTAAACAGAGATTCCTTTGTTCAGTGCAAATTAATTTGGCAGAGAGTGGTCAAGAAGGGACTCCAGCCAGGAAGATCTCACATAAGAAAAGAACCTAAAATACATTTTCTTTTAAATATATGAAAGGTAAATGYTTGACATAATGGAGGGAAAATACAAGAGAACAGACTGTAAGATTCCTGAAGGTATGGACTTGTGTCTGATTTGTTTATAGGCATCTCCAATGCCTAAAATGATCAAAATCTGGCACTCGATAAAAATTTGCTGTATTAAATGAGCAAATTACTACAGGAAACAGTTTTTTTTTTTATTTGTGAAACAAGACTCAAATGAAATAAACAGAAGAGAGCTTCAGAGAAGTCTCATGGGTTGTGAAGTGTGTCAAAATATGGGACAGATTTCAATCAAGGCTGGGTAATTTTATATTAAAATTACACTGCTTTTATTGTTACAATAATATTTAGCCACTCTGTTGTAAACGTCTCGCCCTTGAACTATGAGTTCTTATGAGGCAGGTATTTCAACCCTCCACATAGCRGAACACATTGTGCATACACACCCCATAAATGTAAACTTAGACTGCTGGTCTACTGAAGAAAAGCTAGCAAACACAGAAAATGTTTAAGGAAGAAAATTCGGACAACTTGACAGCATTTATCATTACTAACATTTTAGTCATTCAGAGTAAACTTCAAAATTATCTTCTAATTTGAAATGGTTCTGGTTTGACAAGTTAACTCTTGAGACATCTGAGTAGAGTATTATGAAAGAACAAAACTGTTCATCAACCCTTTATGCCAATGTAAATTTCTTTAAAAAGTAGGATTTTAATGTTTTTTATTCCTACAGTGACCCTTAAAATTTCTATGTATGCAATCACAAATGCACAYACAAGATGCATTTATAAGCTTATTGGGTAGTTCTAAAGACAGTTGGGAAACCCAATTTTAATTTTGTTACTGAAATRATTTAAAAATATATTATACAACAGCTTCTTTTCAATCAACAGCAAGAATCTAGAAAGAGATTATACCAAGTAGGCACAATTTATTCAGGTTTATTAGTGTTCAAAAAACGAAGTTGCCTAACTTCAAATTGTAAAAAGTACTCTTATATTTATTTAATTTTTCATCTTACTACTGTCACAAAAACACCATTTTCTTATGCCTGAAATAAGCTTACATAATTTATTTAACAAAGAATCATTATGCACATTAACCACTGATATGCTAAAGTCTGGAAAATAAATTTCTGCAAATGTGTAAAATTTCCTGATGACATCTGAGATTATGTTTGTAATTTTTAGCTGTCATCAGGAGAAAGAGACTTACCGGCTTTTGTTCATAAGGTCTGCTCCCCGTGCTTTGTAATAATCTAGATTGGGATGGAATTGATAAGTCACTGGTCTTGGATTTTTCTAAAAGGGGAAAAAAAGCAATAAATTAAAATGTATAATGCTATTTAAATTATTCATTAACATGTAAAAGGACAGAAATGATCATTTTTACATTCCTTAAGAAAAATACATATAATAATGAAGTTTAATAATTAGTGTGCTTGAGTTTTGCTTTTATTGTTTAATTAAGTTCTTCCATAACTCCTCTTATTCCTGATTAAAACTGACATTTTTTGACATATTTTTATTTTTGCCTGTCTTATAGTTCAAATAGATTTACTTCTTCCATTTATTTTCAATGATTTTGATCATTTTCAAATATGACTTTTATTATGACATAAAATGATATAAAAACTGAGAAACTATGAGAAGTAACGCAAGTACAAACTATGTTTAAAAGTCTTGAGAATGCTCATTGTGGAGGAAGAGCAAAAAAATCATTRGTTTTTGTTGGCCAGAATGCTAAGTATGTCCACTAGATGGCACACTGAGTCCTTCTTCATCCAGAATAAATAAGTTATTTCAAAACTCAAGGATTCTTTTAAAGATGGCAATTTCTATGTCATCTCTTCTTATTTTTGAGTTTAATAAGTGCCTAAAATATGCCAGGTACTGGAAATAATAAAAAGACAAAAATAAAATGACTGATGCAAATTGACCAATGCACATTTTAAAAGCAGCAAGAATAGTGCCCTGTCTGGCATTTAATATTATTTATAACACCATAGAAATGTCCTTGAATCATTAGGTTGGGTGTGCCTATTTAAATGTGTTGCTATTGCTTAATTGTGTTAATTATTTAAATGTACCAAGCCCCTTACAGGTAAATAAAAATTAAATATGTCTACTTTACAAAAACAACATATTTACAGCATAATTTAAACAAATACTATCATCTCTAAAATATAAAATCACATACAGTTTCCTTAAATTTTTTTAAAAACTTAGAAAAAAGTGTTCTAATGTTTACCTGAATATATAATTCAAGTAGTAATTGGGTATTTGAACCACAGCATAATCTGTCTTTGAGAGATCTATCTAGACACAGAAAGGCTGTATTTTATATTCATTGAAATTACTGATATACTTAGATATTAATCCTTGGAGACATAATCCAAAAGCACTGATATACTTGTACGTAGGCATGGGGAAAAGAGGGGGATGTAATTGCTAAGGTTAAATAGTTTGAAATTCATCAAGCTAACAAGCTGCATCTTAATGGCCATGATGGACCTTTTCTTTTTCTGCTGAAAAGAGAATATTTACACAGCTCAACCCTTTCATATCTCTTCCATGCCAGCCCTAATCATCTGACAAAAACGACAATCCCTTGATTTAGCTCCAGCTACTACTCCACTGGTTTGGTATTCAACACAGTTCTATGATAATCAAATCTGAATTGCCTTGATGAAGATAACTGATGCTTCCATGACTACCATACTATTAAGTCTAACAGTGCAACTTCTCTCTAAGAATTTCATAGGTTTCCTCATGGTAGCTGATGACAACCTGGACCCAAGTATAATGTGAAAATAAAACAGAGGTTAAAGCTCCTGGCAGACTGACAGTACATTCATGATTTATTTTAAAAATTAACTTATGAGGACTATCACTCATGACTAATTCTGCTCTTTATTCTCAGTACCTAGAAACACATTTTATTTTTACTAATCTCAAAAGCTTTTGTTCTCTAATGTCCAACAAACTAGTAAAGAATTATGCTACTTTTTGCAAGAAAATAATGAAAGAAGGGATCGCATGGAGTAGTTCTTTTGAAAACATCTTTATGAAGAAATAACATGCAATTCAAGACAGGATGTGCTGATCCACCTAAGCACTTAAAGCCATTATTAGGAAAAATGATTTAACTTGAACATATGTATAAAGCTCAAGTATTGCTTTCACTGAGACCTATTTAAATTCCTAGGAGACTACTGGTAGCAAAGGGAGAGAGGTAAAGCACCACTGTACTGGAAACAACAACAAAAAGAATCAAAAGATGATGCTGAAAACAGCATATGAAATATGAAGAAAATGTTATATCTAAAACATAAAAATACATATAGATAATCTAGACAAGCACTATTTAACAGAAATATTATGTATGTTAAAAATGCAAACTTCATCTGTAATTTAAATTTTTTTAGCAACCACACTAAAAAAAGAAAAAGGGAACAGATGAAATTGAATGCAGCATTAGTTATATAATAAACTTTATCATTTTAACATGTAATCACTATAAAATTTATTAATGTGATACTTTACATTCTTTTGTTTGTACAAGGCTTTGAAATCTAACGTGTATTTTACACTTACAGCRGATCTCAATTTGGACTATACACACACTTCAAATATCGAAAGCCACATGTGGCTTGTGGCTACTGTATTGGTCAGCACAGAGCTAAATGCTGAAGTATCAATAAACCATGCACAGCTGTAAAAGTCAACACATGGACATGAACAATGAATAGGGTGTGAATACTTTAAACATTGAGATTCATCACTGATGGTTCTTCAGATTACCTACAATTTTTTAAAATTGATGGCTATCTTTTATGAATAAGGTTTTAAAAAGTCCAGAAATTTTGGAATACTTTCTTATATGAACAAAAAATTAAAACTAATAAGTTCAAATAATTGTTAAGAATATTTGTATAAATGTACACATGTAGGTAAATGGATAGACAAATGGGAATGTGCACCAAAATGAAAATATTTCCTTAGGGCAATGAGATTACATGAACAAAGTTTTACCTTTAAAGTCCTATGGGCAACAACATTTCAGTATTTTAAGTTCAAACTCATTTTGTTATGGTAGTGTAAAATATTCAAGTGCTAATTCACACTAAGAATAACTAACTACAGGATGCTGTAAGAAGTACAATTAACTACAAGATTGTACATAACAATATTCCTTGTTCTGAGACTGTTTATATATATATATACGTAAAGAGATCTTAACTTTTTTATTTTAAAGGATTTTCTCAAAATTTTATAGACATTTAAGGTTTCTTCTAATTTTTAAATATCTGAAAATTTCCTCTAAAATATATGAGTCACTAGAGTTCTACATACAAAAAATTGTATAAGTTAGGAAGACCAGATCCCACAGGTGTAGTAATTTCTCATTGTGCAGAACACATTCACATATCTTTAATATCATGTCTTTGTAAACCCATTTCCACATAATCAGAATTTCTGACCAAAATAAGCACTTCTAAACTAATGTACTTTTTTTTCCCCAATGCATGTTTTTAAAGAATGTTTTTGTTTTGGTAAATTTTCCTTTGGAAGAAAGATGACAAAATGGTAATGGTTAGCTTACTGGGTTTGTATTGGTCTAAGAAGAATAGCAATTATATGATACAACATGGGAAGTCTATACTATCATACATACAATTGCAAAAATCATAACTTCAGACCCCACTGAAGGTTACTGTGTCTTTCCTAGACCAAACATGATAGGCTTGAGACAGGTCTTCTACATAGACTTCATCTAGTAACTTCCCAAATAATCATTCAACTCTTTTCCATTAAAGTTGTTACAAGTTACAAGCTTTCTCTTTGGTATTTTATTTTTTTAGTAGTATTTGTGGTACTGGGGATTGAACCTAGAGCTTCAAACATGCTGAGCAAACACTCTACCACTGAGTTAAATCTTCAGCCCTTTTTAAAAATATTGTTTTTGAGAAAGGGCCTKACTAAGTTGCTGAGGCTGGCTTGGAACTTGTGGTCTTCCTGCCTCAGCCACCTGAGTATCTGGGAGCATGGAAGTTARCCATCAATCTTGGCTTCTCTCCAGCATTTTATTTTATGACAATAAAAGAAGAATGCTGCAAAACCCCACTCCTGGCATAAACAGGCTGGATCTTGGAGAGGCATCTTAAAGTCCTGTGGGCAACAACATTTCAATATTTTAAGTTCAAACTCACTTTGTTATAGTATTGTAAAAATATTCAAGTGTTAATTCATACTAAGAAAAACTAACTACAGGATGCTGTAAGAAGTAAAATTAACTACAAGATTGTCCAAAACAATATTCCTTGTTCTGAGACTGGTGAAATCAAACTTACCCAAAAGGTCATTACAAACAGTTCTTCCTAGCTTGAACCCCCGACTCCTGTATCTCATTTGAAGATAATCTCCATTTAAATCAACACACAGAAGAAAGGACTCTGAAATACTCATCCTTCTTTGAACAGCACAGGACTGTTCAAAGACTTGGCTATTTATGCATACATGTGGAACTAAAAAGAGGAGAGGAAAAGCAATTCCAGTGATAGTGATYTTCATGTATTAATGGACTAGTAGGAGATGATGTCATATGAATGTTATATATTGAAAACAACAGCACTAATGTAGACATAACAATGCTCATCTGCTCTAGAGGGACAGGGTGCCTGGTGCAAAGGATCAGGAGACTCCTGTTCCACCTATTATCAGCTGAGTGACTGTGAGGAGTTAATTACATTCTTAGGTCTAGTTTTATCATCTGCAAAACTGTACCAAGGATTAAATGACAGAATAAGAACGAAGAGCACAGCACAGTGTCAGGCACTTGATAAAACCACATGAAAAAGAAGGTATAATCATACTGATATCAGTGAGCACTGACAAACAGACCTCGACTTGAGAGCAGATTTAAATTTGACAACCTAAAATCCAGGACACTAAAAGGGTAGAGAAAGTGATGTTTTACACTTCTGATAATTGTAAATTTGCCAAATATTATATCTATATTTTCAAAACAAAAACACACACTTAGGAAAACATATCACGCACACTGGATCTCATATATGGGGAGAAAGGCTGTCACATTTCTCTGAATTAGGAGCACATACATTTACAAATTTTTAAAAATGTATACAATCATACCATGCTAATAATGCAATATTTGCCAGCTTATGAGATTATAATAATCAGGGATTTCCTGAAATATGCCCAAATTATCATTTTATAATTTATTGGACATTAATTTTACTTTGAATTAAACTGACAAAGTTCTTTGAGTACTTAAAAGA